GTCCCAGCTGGACGTCACAGCCTTTCGGACTCCCGCACATTACACAGCTCCGCAGCTAACTTCGCAAACCCTTCTAAGCCAGCAGCAAGCCTGCTGTGCACCGTTCGTCAGCCTCAACTCTCCTTCGTCCCCTGGAGCCCACGTTCCTCTCCCCAGGGCCTGATCTCGCCGCTGTCCTTCTTTCTCTGTTAGCGGGGTTGAAAAAATGTCATGGCAGGTACCCCGCTAGACAGCTCCAGCTCGAGCACCCCGCCTGGTGCTGCATCGCCAGAAGCAGCTCCTCGATCTTACGACGAACCCATGGAAGACATATCCCAGGCCACTCGGAAACGTCCTCGTCTCGACAGCGGCAGTGCCTCCCGCGAGGTCATGTCGGCTGAAGAGTCGCCTGCCCGTGACTCCGCGTCGCCGACCGCGAACAACCCCGACAAGGCTGACGAAGCTCCGGCCTCGCGTCGTCCGGCCAGCAGAGTCACGATCAACGTGAAATCGCCCACACGCCGAATCATGACAATGGATGGAGCGGTGGATGATCCTGAAGAACCGCCATCCCAGGAGGATGGGGTCAAGTCCAACACCACTCCGACGAACAGCGGCCATCCGGAAAACACCGCTATGACGGGAGCGCAGTCATCCGCCGCCATCTCCATCTCCTCGTCCCCCGTTCGGAGTCCCGAGATTGAGGTAGCCGAGGTGGAGGACATGGATCAAGATCCCAATACGTCCAATTGGAGACCATTGGGAGAGGCCCTCCGGGACCAGACCGCGGCCGAAGAAGTTGTGCAACTCCACGAGCAAATGTCATTGACTGACTCGTTTCCCAAATTCCGGGGCAATCTCGACCTGAGAGAATCAGTGGAGGAGATTGTGAACATGATCGAGAAAGGTACGGACTTTTCCCTCTGTTTACCTTGTGAAGAGGAAAGAGCTAGAGCTGACCTGAGACTCAAAACACTAGGGCACCCCCATGACGTGACGGTTTTTCTCGCCGTAAAGAGCTGGTTCGATATCTGCGCGAATAACCTGGGTCAGATTACCTATGAAACTTTTGTCGATGACCGGGAATTCTGGGAGGAGTTACCAACCATAGTGGAGGGGCTACTGCGCAGAGTGTGAGCAGATTCTCAAACCCATAAAGGATGACAGAAAGTTTTACGCGGGATACTGACTCGTGAGCAGGATCAATTTCCAGCCCAATGAGGGACGTGGCACATGGAGTTGTTTGGAAGAGTTCTTCATCGACTTCGCTCAGCTCGCCCTTCACCTGCTCCGATTAGACACCCTTGCCCTAAGGCAACTCGCCGAAGAGACGGATGTCCAGGTTCCTGAAATGATTTCGCGAACTTATCTACCATCTCTCGGATGGATTTTGCAGATATCGAACATACCGTTCTTTCGGACCATGGAGAGGGTAAATCACATCGAACTCGCCAATCTCGTTGCGCGGATCAACGACCGGATCGCCGTCTCGCCCATCGACGCGTTGCAGCATATCTCAGACTTTGCCGCGTGGGCCTTTTCTCTGGTTTCCCGGTGGCCTCATCTGGCACCGATGCTCGTTTCAGCTCTGAATGTCGCCCAGAATATGGTGGAATCAGGTAGCGAGCGCAGAAATCACGGCGCAGATGACTATCTCGTCGATTCGCCCGTCCTCGCCAGAATTATCAAGAATGGCTACACTCTCTTCAGAGCGGTGGATGAGAAATATCAGATGCATATCTCCAAGAAGTCTCCCTGGGTTACGTCCGATATCAGCGAGTCCCTCCTCCGCAATATCGGTATCGTCTACCAGGCGTTCTGTTTCTTAGACCCCAGCTTTGTTCGCCGAGTTGCTCGAGATGTGTCCGTTGAACTTCCGGAAGACACAAAGCCCGATGAATGCGTCCAGATCATTCACTTCGGTTGGAGGTTTGGCGTTTTGAAGCGACACATCATGGAAGGCCGCATGGAGTTGAGGGTTTTTGGGATGGAAACAATGCAGTCTGATCTCGTCGGCATTTGGAGGCAGCACATACAAGGGAACCCAGAGGGCATCGACTATCCGATCATTCAGTATCTCGTCAAGTTTCTGCGAGATAACCGGATCGTCGAATACATCGTCGGTGTAGATTCACACCCTCAGCTGATCAGCCGCAGTGGAAATATCGTTGGTTTCTTGGTTGTCACGTCGACCTACACCGATGCCGACACGGATACGATTTGGAAAGCTGTGATAGAGAGCCAAGACCAAAGAACCGTCGGAGAAGTCCTCTCGATGCTGACGCGTACATTTATCATGCATCCAGCCTCCTCGACCGCCCTTCTTTATCTTTGCTCTAAGCTTCTCGAGCTTCCTCTGAGTCGCTTTGACTCCCGCATGATCGAATTTTGTGAGCAACTCCTTCTTAACGTGCGTGAAAAGCATGGCGAGAGGAGTCGGCACGAGCCTTTGGATGTCTTGCATGTGGACTCCATCCCTTTGCGGCTCTGTGTGCGCTTGATTCGCGAGTCCGCGGCGTGTGATGAATTCACCGTCGAACACAAGACTGCTTTGCAAAAGTTTGCAAGCGTGCAACTGAGTTCTTTTCTCAGCCTGGGAATGAGCGAGGAGGACAAGTTAGATGTCTACGAACGTTGTATCCAGGATATCGCGGAGATGAACCAGTTCGCTTCCGGTAGCATCCAAGCGTTGAACGCCCTACTCCCAGCTCATGACTCTCACGAGATTCGAAAACTGACCTCCGACTTTGATTTGACTCGACTGGTGATCATGGAGTTCTGCCATGCCTGGGAGACCAACCAGTCGGATTTCACCGATCCCTTTTCGCAGAACGCGCTTCTATCGCGTATCGAGCTGCTAAACCGAATCATCGATAAGGTGCCTGAGACAATTACTCCTGATCTGAGCGATACCCTGTGGACTAGGGTCTTCATGACTGGAAATGTGGATCAGGCCAGAGCTCCCTTATGGGACATGTTGTGCAGGGTGACGGGCCAGTGTGGCACGCCAAACCCGTTTATCGAGCGTTGTCTCCACGAATACCTGCCTTCTCTTTCGCCAGAGAACTACTCGCCGGAGATTCTCGCTTTCGCCGAGCAGGCGGTTTCATATGAGATCCGTTTCAACCCTCCGCCGATCCCCGGTGAAAATGAAATTATTTCATTGCCTGGAATGGACCGAATCTGGCATCTCATTCTAACCGCCCCTGCCGGTACCATCGAGAGCAAGGCCACCAGCTTTGCCATTGAGATGTATCTGGATCACACGTTGATACGAAGAGCACCCCCGTCGGCGGCGGAGGCTACTCATATCTCTCTAGTCGACCGCTGCGTGGAGCAGATCAGATCTGCGGCCTCAAAGCTGAAGGTCTTTAAAGACAGTTCGACAAGCGGTGAGGACGAACCAATGGTCCCTGTTGCTGATGAACATGAGATTCGCGCCGAAGAACTGAGGTTCAGCCGGTCTTTGCTGTTTCTTCATCAGCTACTTCAGGGTCTCAGGACTCGTCCTCAGTACAGTCCTCCTCAAGGCCAGGCCCCAGATCTGCCCGAACGAGTCGGGAAGGGTGATCCGATTGAGATTCCATATCAGTGTTTCAATGGCGGAGCCCAATCGAAGGTCCGCACCCTGAAGATTGGTGACCTCTGCACCGCCTCCGAGCTGGTTGATCGGCTTGTTCATCTTACTGGTTTCAGCAAATTCAGTACGATCTACGGAGGACAGAAGATCAACCTACTTGAGAACCCGGATGCGACGTTGCGGGAGCTCAAGTTCCGAGCTGGTCTGCTGATTATTCGCAAAATCAGCGATGGCCCGGAAGTTTCCTCCACGGGCAGACGCCAGTCGCTCACCCTGGTTGACTCCGAGGTGCTAAAGCATTTTGACGATCTTTATGATTTGCTGAGTCTGGAAGATAAATTTGCTAAAGAGGTTCGTCCCTTTCCTCCCTAACTTACTGGGACGCAGGCACTCACACCTTTCAGATCTATGACTTCCTCAGCGTATTTCCGCCGCAAGAACGGGTGCGCAACTTGGTGAGAGCGGAGACCAATACGGAACAAGAAATGTTCCCTATGGAAAAACCATACAAGTTGTTGTACTCCGTTAAAGCACTCTCTACATGCTTGAGAGAAGAATCACTTGAGGTATGTGCAGCGAAAAACAACCCTAAATAACCGCCTTGCTAACTCCCAGGAAGTCCGAGCCGAATCAGGCTTTCATCTCTCACAGCATCCGGACTCTAGTTGCTGCTTTGACGCGGCCTGAAATGGCGGAGTCTTTAACAGAGAACCCGATGAAGCTCGTTTTTGCTTGTCATCTCATCGAGTGTCTCTTGTCAGCTCTCCCAGGTATGTTGAACCACACTGTTGAAGGGAAAAGGCTTAAAACTGATCGATCCTAGTGAGATCTGGTGACTCCCTTGCTGCGCTACCAAACCCAGAGTCTCTGATCCGGCAGTTGCTGAACTTTATCGAGTCGGCCCGCAATCTAACGACTTCCCAGCTCTCGGAGGCCAGCATTCAGAAACTAATATGTCAGTCTTTTGCTGTATTGATCGAGGCATCCATGCACGATCATGGATTCTGGGATGTCAGCAAGCAACACGCTCAGTTTGATCGACTCATCTTTACACTCCTCTTGGAGGAAGAACGGCAGTCGATCCGCAAGGAGATTGCAGATAACATCGTTGTTGTCTGTGGTCCGTCTAAGTCGCGGAAGAAGTCCACGAGAGCCGGACGTGATGACGCGGAAGGAGTGCAACAATCGGAGAATCCTACCTCTGTCGACATCCTCGCGATGCTCTGGGAGGCCTTTGTGCACAATTTCCCGCTTACCGTTAAATATGCGGAGCAGTCTCAGGAGTTCTTCGACGTCGCTCTGACTGTTTTTCGGTCTGTTGCAGAGAGGTCGCCACGTGATGTTGTCTTTGCTGAGTATCTTACTTCATGGAGCAAGATCATGCTTAGCCACAAGACAGAGGAGGTATGTTGTAATTAATGACTCCTTTGCGACTGTCTATACTGACGATAGTACAGTTTGTTGGGCGGGAACCAGTCGATCACGTCATTCTGGGATTCGCGCGCCTCTTGAGATTGTGTCTCGAGATAGCGGACCAGACTGACACTCGTATCAACGCCTCGTAAGTAACTAATCGTCCACACGTTTTGAGTTCGCTTCGACTAACTTTTCCTTTCAGGGAGCTCATTGAAAGCCTCTTCAACAATTACCTCTTCCCTGATTTGTCTGCGCCCTCAGAGACTGAGGTGATAACACCAAAAGTACCAATAATGCATGAGGAGACGCGCGAAGAACTGTACAGGATTCTTGGTTTGCTTTGCAAGTATGTGGAAAACTATGCAAAGGTTATTGAGCTCGTCTCAGACCTTATTCCGCAAGGTATGGTTCCAAACGGCGATTACACTGCTTTCTTCAGTAGTGTCGATTGAAGCTGCTGGACTAACTGATGTGTCTTATTTGAACAGACTACACGTACTCCCCCAATTGGACTTTCGAAAGATCCAAGACGATTCGGTCCCCTGAAGGCTATGCAGGACTTAAGAATTTGTCCAATACCTGTTACTTGAATTCTCTTTTCTCACAGCTCTTCATGAATGTTGGGTTCCGAGAGTTCATGCTGCAGGTACCAGTCACGGATCCGGACTCGTCGCAGAAGCTCCTCGCAGAGACGAAAAAGATCTTTGGAAACATGCAAGAAACGTGGTCCAAATTTGTTGATCCACAAGGCGCGGTTGACTCGATACGGACTTACGACAATGAGCCTATTGACGTGACCATCCAAATGGATGTTGACGAGTTCTACAACCTCCTCTTTGACCGATGGGAAGCACAAATAGTGGATCCAGAAGACAAAAAACGCTTCCGCTCGTTTTATGGGGGCCAGTTGGTTCAACAGATCAAGTCCAAAGAATGTTCTCACATCTCGGAGAGACTGGAGCCATTCTCGGCCATTCAATGCGACATCAAAGGGAAAGCAAGCCTTGAAGACAGTCTTCAAGCTTACGTGGAGGGGGAGATTATGCAAGGAGGTAAGGCTCATCACCTGGATAGGATTATTATTCGTCTGCTGCTGACCTCTTGAACAAGATAACAAGTATTCCTGCACTCCATGCGGGCGTCATGTTGATGCGGTGAAGAGGTAAGCTAATGAGGTTCCAACAGAATGGTCGAGAGCATCAACTAACTATAACAGGGCTTGTTTGAAAGAACTCCCTGACAATCTCATTTTCCACTTGAAGCGTTTTGATTTCGACATGGTCACCATGATGCGCAGCAAAATCAACGATGAGTTCCAATTCCCGGAACGCATTGATATGACGCCGTACAAAGTGGAATACCTGTCGAATCCCAACAACCCCGTGGAGCCCGACATCTTTGAATTGGTGGGCGTGCTGGTACACAGCGGCACAGCTGAATCTGGCCACTACTATTCTTACATCCGTGAGCGACCGGTGGCTGGATCAAAAAGATCGTGGGTCGAATTCAATGACGCGGATGTCAGCGCATTCGATCCATCAAAGATCGCGGAGCAGTGCTTCGGTGGCATGAGCGAGTCTATTCACGGATCGTCTACCCGCTTTGGCAAGGTGTGGAACGCCTACATGCTCTTTTACCAACGTGTATCGAGCATGGAATCCGCCAAAGCAATCTACAAACCCAGCCCTAAGAACACACCCGTCCGTGTTCCGTTGCCCGTTAGCCTTGGAAACCATATTGCGATGGACAATGAACTTTTTATTCGCACATACTGCCTCTTGGATCCGTACCATGCCTCCTTTGTTCGATATCTTCTATCCCGCTCTCGAGATTTTGTTTTGTCGGGGGCTCCAGGTGCCGCCAAGTTGGAAAAGTCGGCTATCTTCATTGCCTTGGATACCTTGGATCAGCTCATTTCCCGAACGAGGGAACTATCGGAGCTTGATAGGGTTGTGGCTGAACTCATTCGAACGATAACTGACACGCCCAAGGGTGCCATCGAAGTCATTCAGTGGATCACAGAGCGTCCCACAGGGATGCGTAACCTGATTTTGAAGACTCCTCATGGTGCAGTTCGGAGCAACTCTGCGAGGATCTTTCTTACTGCTCTGGCACGTCTGCAAGATCTCCAAGAAGACCCGAATTTGAGCGCTGTCGAGCAGCATGAATGGCAGACACGATACTCGGACGCTTTTCGGACTGTAGTAGCAACGCTCAAAGATCTGTGGTCTATACTCCATACGGCCAGTCGGTCATGGGATGACTATTTTGACTTCCTGTGTATGCTGACGAGCTTCCGAACCTCTCAAACTCGTGTCTTACTGGATCACGGATTCCTGCTCAAATGCCTGGAAATGGTCTGGCTTGATCGAGAGGATTCCAAGAAGCTGAAGAGGCAGTATGCTGCATACTACAGACTTATCGAGAGAGGCCGCAAATTTTCTCATCGGAAACTCCTTGATTTCCTCGTCAGTCTGCTGAGATTCATTGACCTTACTCTGCCGCCAACCCCGGATGGTGAGCCTCGGACTGTCCACGAGGGCCGGTATTCTCTGACGGAGTTGGAGAATTCCTTCATTCGACCGCTTGGCCGCAGCAAGGAACTTATTGTGCTGAAGAAGATTCTCCAGCAACACAGCAATCCACCCGCCTGCAGAAACCTTATGGGTCTCTTCCTTGACTCTGAGCCAGAAGCTGGACTCCTGGATCCCATTTGCAAGGTGCTGGAAGATGGACTGAGAGTTGCGCCAGCGGCGCTTTGCGCTCCATTCCTCGAAGCAACCTTGGTGTTTTGCAGGCGGAGTCCCGACGAAGACCAAATTGTTGGCCTGATCGATTATGTCGCCAAGGGAGTGGAATCTATCAACAATAGCGGCGGGAAGGAGCATCTTGCCTTTTTCACCAACCTGCTGTCAATTCGCAACGAGCGGATTGGCAAGGATGAGGCCTGGTTCTTGTCGCATGTTGTGGAACGGATCCCCGATTGGGCACCGACCTTGCTGATTTACGTGGACAAGACGGTCCGAAACCTGACTTTTGACTTCTTGCGCCAGATACTCTTCAACAAGGAGCATGAAGAGATGACCGACGACTGTCGGATGTTCTACACCAAAGTCGCCAAGGACCTCACGCAGGCGTCTTTGGATCGGTTGAGGAAGACGTATCTGGTGACTCCTGGCCAGAATATCGAAGCCAAAGTTGTGGAGACCATCAACCTTGTCATCACTCACTGTTTGGAAACGTACTATGATGAGCATGACGAGGAGGATGCAGATTTTCTGCAGCAAGCGGCAGGTAAGTAGTCAGCATATGTGAATTTATTTGGGGCTAGAATCTGACTTTGGTGCAGCTATCAGCAGCGCTATTGAGGAACTGTGTGTGGAATTGCCGGAGGAGTTGGCTTCAGGTAAGTCCCCTTTTTCATATGTCAATATCTCTCTCTAACCCCTGGCTCCCAGAGTCTGATTTTCCTTCTCCAGAAGACTGGGAGGACAACTCGATGATGGCGAGTGATTCGGAACTTGGATTGGCTGGAACACCATAATAGATTCTTGAACATCTGAACCTAGCTCATGAACGGCGAAAAATTAAACAAAGAAAAAAAAGGACGAAAAACGAAAAACGAAAATTTTCATCATGAAGCAAATGTGACCTTAATTGATCGGATACCAGCAACGAGCAACGACTTGATGACCGAGAGAGAGAAAAAAGAAGGGAGAGCTTGGCATTGAATGCTCCCTGCTCAAATTGCATGGATTGGCGTTTGACAGCTGTACACGGGTTGAAATCTTTTTTTTCATCATCATGATACATTCAATGGATTGTCACCAATAATCATTGTGTCCTCTTGTCCTGTCCTGGTATGCAGAGATGCAGCGTTCTACTGTAGTTTGGCAAAAGGCCGGGCGTTTGATATTTTCTTTCTTTCTTCTTTTCTCTTTCTATTACTTATTCAAGCAAGCAAGCAAGTCAAATCAAATCTAGTTCTGTCGTCGACTAACCACCAACCAACCCAACAAACACATCAATCAGGCAGGAATTGGCGTCGTCGTCAGCTTTTTCTTCTTCTTGTTGTTCTTGATCTTGTTTTTTAACCCCAACTACTCCTGTGCGTTTTGTTCTTACGATTGCTTGCCTGATTGACTGATTGATTGATTTCTTGATATCGGATCCTAATGACGATCAATAATTCATGAATGGATGCAATGATGATGATGACGGTTCCTGTTCTGGTTCCCCAAACGCAAACGCAAACGCAAACGCAAACGTTTCGTTCGAACAGAAAGAAGATAGGTAATAAGATAAGAATAGAGATGTCTGTCGGGCTTTCCGGATTTTTTTTTCTCTTTATTTCTCTTGTCTTTTTTTTGTTTTGTTTTAGAATCAATCAATCAATCAATCAATCAATCAATCAATCAATCAATCAATCAATCAATCAATCAATCAATCAATCAATCAATCAATCAATCAATCAATTTAGCATTTAATACATATGGTCTCAGCAGAATAGAAAGGATGGGAAGGAACAGGGGCATGGCTGGATGGGTTATTTACCCTTCTTGGTATGTGTACATACGATCGTAATGGATTCATTGACTTGAATCGAATGGATGCGAACAATAAAAAGAAAGCAAATAATACAAGCAGCTAATAAATTACTACGTAACAACGACAAACAATAACGCTCCTCCTACGGTATGATATGATATGATTTCCATGTCTCATCCAATTCAATTCGATTCAATTCAATAAAATAATACCCATTCTTTGTCAAATAGCCTCCATTCACCCGTCCAGACATCAATCTATCAATCTATCAATCAATCAATCAACTGGTCTATAATACAATAGCGAAGTTTCAAATGAAAAAGGTAAGGTAAAGTAAAGGGTACGTAAGGTAGCAGGACAGTGCGTTTAAAAAATACAAGTCTAAAAAGACGAATGGGGTCGAGTGACTCTGGTCAAGGAAGATATCCTATCCTTTTAGTACCTCTGGATAGCTATCTCACCTTAAAGTTATTATTCTCTTCAGAATAAAAGTGTACATATTCAGACATCTTCGAATTCCTCGTCATCCTCGTCCGACTCCTCTTCTTTCTTGATTTCTACCTCTTCCGTCTTGACCTTCTTCGCCACCGGCCCGTCATCAGCTGGTGTTGCGGGCGTGGCCGCCGCGGTCTGGGGCGCGCTGCTGCTCGACTCTGACTCCAGCTCCCGCTTGACACCAGCCACGCTGGGAGACGGCGCCACAGCCGGTGCACTGGTAGGACCAGCACCTCCGGTCGTCATGGCCGGCGTACCGACCGCGCTCCCATTACCAGAAATGCCCCCCACATCTTCAAACTCGTCCTCCTCCTCATCAGACTCCTCCTCAGCGCTGCTCGCTTCCTCGGCCTTTTTGCGCGCGATCTCGGCGTAGTACGCAGCGATATCGTCCAGCGCGTCCAGGTCGGGCTTCTGCTCCTCCTCTTCCTTGATCTCTGGTTTGACGTCAACATTCGTCTCCGTTTTGATAGGATTGACGTTGCCGGCCGTGGTAGAAACTGTAGAGTGAGTATGCCATACTGGAAGAGCATTCTGCTTCTCGAGGGCGGCCTTGCGGGCTTGCTCTGCAGCTTGCTCTGCGGCACTCTTCTCCGCCGACGACGTAAGCGACACTTCAATCGCGTTTGCATCGGTCCTAGTGTTGCCGCGAACAGCTTCCTGCTTGTTTGTTGCCACAGCGACAGCCGGTCTCGAGGGATGCGTCTGCTGGTTTCGAACGACGTCGACTTTGTGGTCCCACGCTGTCTCGAAATCGTTTGGAGGGATTTCCGTCGCGTCGATCTGCTTGAGCAGCTTCAGCATGCCGTCCAGCTGAGCCATCAGCCTGCTGTTTTTCTCATGCCCAGTCCGGTCGATTCCATCGGTCCCCTTGACGTCCTCGGTCCGCTCAAGGATGGCGCCGCACGACTGACATTCGAACCCCTCCTCATTGTAGAGACTCAACACGTCCAGTTCCGTCCATTCCTCCCCGCATCTTAGACAGATGTATTCTTTCCTCTCCTCACTGGGGGTGTATTGGGCTTTGATGGTAGAAGTTAAACGAGAGATCCGGTACTTGATCGCATCGATCACTGGATGCAGAGGGATATAGTAGTAATCGCGGTTAACGGGCCGGGTAGAGCCATCACGAATTTCACTTCGCGTATGACTACATGGCAACAGCTCTGTTAGCCTGGACTGCCAGCAAGGGAAGACCTGGAATGCAGGTGAGAACTATACACTGCGATAAGGCGGTCTTCCCGCAATTTGGCGCAGAGCTTTCGCAAGTCCTTTTGCTGCATGCCAAGCAGGTGAGCAAGATCCTCTGTGTGCAGTCTGCGACGCCCTATTAGCCTCTGGAGATGAACAACTGGTTCCAATCCAGGAGGGAGCGTACACAGAGTGGATAAAGAGAGCGTCGACCACCAAGACTTGGCGGGTCTCGTAGAAAGCGCGGACCACGCTCCGAATGAGAGTCTTCGCGAGATCCATGGTGTAGTAGTCAACTGTTAAAAGTAAACTGGAGGAAAGGAAAGAGAAAGATAGGTGGAGGCGACAGAAGCTCGAGGCGTGTGAGCCGTCAACCTAGAATAGGTGACTGACACAAGAGGTCCGGAGTGACATGCACATCCTTCTCTTTCTGACGGCAGCTAAGCGAAGAAAGAGAAGAACGCGACGATGGACTCACTGGGTGAGAGGATGGGGCAAGGCCTGCTATTGACGTCTGGTCGCGCAATAGAGGCTGCTCGCAGAGAAAAGCTGAGACGAAGTCCGAGCGCACGAGCGCGATATGGAATCACGAGTCACGAGGCTGGGCTCGGCCCTAACGCCACCGCCTGCCTGTTCTGGCCTAGCCGGTGCATCACGACGCTAGGTTGGATTCAGTCTAGTTCGACCGGGTTCCCTGCAGGTGACAATGACATTCTGCGGAGTACCAAAAAAAACCCACGCGATATCATTGTGAAGAGACGAGCTCTCTATGCGCCGCCACCTCTTGGGAAGTTTGAGGTACGCCCGTCTTTCGTCCATTCTCAGAGCGCAACCCGGGTGTCTGGCTTCCTGTGCCAGACCTCCGTTTTGGCCAACAGCCCCTCTATACTCCCGGAGATTTTTACAGAGTGAAGCTTTACCACAGACCGGACTGCAGACAGTTCCGGAGCCACAATGGGTGACCGAAGAAGTGGAAAGAATAAGAAACGAAATCTGGGAAGGAATGAGTACCGGTATGTTGCGGCCCTTACCTGCCCGTGGTTTTGTAAAGATTGACTGACTAAGTAAAGACGGCAATCAGTAGATAAGAGAGCGAAGACTGAAGAGACCCAGGAAGCAAAAAGACGGAAACTTGATCAAGGAGAAGAGCAAAAGCTTCCCATCTATGCAACTCATTTCTCCCCGGAAGAGATTGCGGCGGAGGAAAGGCGCCCTAAACGGAAGGTGGCCGTATTGCTGGGCTACTCTGGTACCGGCTATCATGGAATGCAATTGTGCGCTAGACTTCCGACAATTCTCTATTTATCCAGCATAGTTGCTGACTGTATACAGGAGCGAGACCCAGAAGACCATCGAGGGCGAGCTTTTCCCTGCCTTTGTCGCAGCGCGTGCGATCTCGAAGGCCAATGCGGCCGATCCGAAGAAGTCGTCGCTCGTCCGATGCGCGCGTACAGACAAGGGCGTGCATGCAGCAGGTAACGTTGTATCGCTGAAATTGATCGTGGAGGATCCAGACCTGGTGAAAAAAGTAAACGAACATCTCAGCCCTCAGATCCGGGTGTGGGGTATTCAGGTGACGAGCAAAAGCTTCAGTTGCTACCATATGTGCGACTCCCGCATATATGAGTACCTGATCCCAAGTCACTGCTTTTTGCCACCACATCCCAGTACATATTTGGGCAGGAAAATCGTAGAAATCGCAGAGCAGTTCGGCGACACAAAGGGTTTCCAAGAAAGACAGCAGGAAGTGGCGGGATTCTGGGAAGATGTTGACGAGCGGGAAATCAAGCCAATTCTGCAAGGGCTGCCTGAGGATCTCCGGCGGCTGGTTCAGAAGGCGCTCTATATAGACGAGAATTTGGCCCTCTCCTTTGAGAAGAAAGAGGAGGAGCAGCCTGCTGAGAGCGCGCCTTCGAAAGACGAAGGACGAGAGTCATCCGGAACTTCAGACGCGGCAAATCCAGAGGGCAAACCAAAACTCAACGAAACACAAAGGGCAATGATCAACGAAGCCATCAAATCTATCAAGGCGGCCTATCTGAAAGCCAAGCGGGCGTACCGAATCCATCCAACCCGTCTCCGCCGCCTGCAGGAAACCCTTGACAAATACGTGGGTACCCGGAACTTCTGGAACTACACGGTGCAGAAAACGTACCATGACCCCTCGGCGAAACGGGTCATCAAGTCCTTTGTCGTGAACCCGAACCCCATCATCGTCAACGGCACGGAATGGCTCAGTCTGAAGGTCCACGGGCAGAGCTTTATGATGCACCAGATCCGGAAGATGGTCGCCATGGCAGCCATGGTGGTGCGGTGCGGATGCGACCCTAACCGCATCGTCGACAGCTACGGTCCCACGAAGATCGCCATCCCAAAGGCGCCCGGCCTGGGTCTTCTGCTGGAACGGCCCATCTTCGACGGATACAACCGCAAGGCGAAGGAATTCGGCAAGGAGAAGATCGACTTCAGCAAGTACGAGAAGGAGATTGAAGAATTCAAGCAACGGGAGATCTACGATCGCATCTTCCGCGAGGAAGAGGAGACCAATGCGTACGTATCCACTAACCCATATCGACGGAATATAATCTAATCTAACTGTTTTGTTTTTTACAGTTTCGGCTCTTTCTTCAACCACATCGATCATCTCCCGCAGGAAGAATTCCTCTACGTGACATCCGGAGGCATCCCAGTCGCGAAACCCGCCCTCCAACCTGGACAAGTCAAGGCCGCCGCTGCTGCCAAGGACGGCACAGGCGCAGCAGAGCCAGCAACGAAGGACCAGGCTGGAGAGGGCCAGGAGGAGGCAACCACGCAGCCCCGGAAGACGCACGAGGAGGTCCTCGCAGCGGTAGAATCGGACTCGGAGACGGAAGGCCGACTCCCTGATGGTGGCGAGGAGGGTGGATAAATAGCAGCTATACGATACATAGTAGTTAATTATTAACTACAGAAGTAGATTTGTTCTGCTTGACATTTTTTGTTAAAAAAAATAAATAAAAGTTGAGAAATAAAAAGTTGAAGTGCCTTCAGCCCTTTCTAAAAAAAAGTATTTATTCTTTCATTCCACTAATTTTTCCAGACAACATAAAATCTATTAATAGCATAGCATGCTTATCTATCAATCACACCCATCGAGGTGCACGCCTGTGCGCGCGCGCGTCTGAAATGCTTCTTTGTGTTGGACAAAGAGAAAAGACTTAGATCAACAACAACCCCCTATTACCATATTACCCCCATAATAAATAATAAATGCTAATAATAAATAATAATTCATGTATTCTGCGCTCAGTCGGTCGGATCCTGGTTATTTATTTATTTATTTATTTATTTATCTAGGTAGGTCCCTAACCACAACTAACTACTCCAAAACTACATATCATATCCAACACACACAATGATAGTGTGATAAAAAGAGAGAGAGACGGCGAATACCATCCCATCGAGTTCAATATATATAATAGAAAGAGACATCCCGTTTCCCGCGTCCCGAGATTAGCAGGCACATCTACGTATCATATCTTGCCAGACAATATCTAAATTCTAAATTGGACGGACGTACCCATCCGTTGTACGGAGTCCTATTTGAATCGTGTAAAGGTTCTTGTGACTACAGAAGGAAACTTCAATTCAATCATAAACTCAATTGACGTACTCACTCATCAGATACATAAGAAAAGAAACGTCATAACAACATACACCAGAAGAGGAAGTCCAGGGGGAGAGTGTTAGATGAGCGGGGACTCGGAAGACAGACGTGAAAACGGCAGTGACAGTCCCGGTACATCTTTCTCAGGGGTCAATCATTCTTTTCATCGCTCGTTCAGACGTGTTGAAAATCAGACAGCAAAAAACAAAACCAAACGAAACGAAATGAAGGCAGAACAAGATGACGAACAGACGCTCCAGATAACGGATTAGTGGCACTGCTCGTAGATTTTCTCAAGGGCAGTGAGAATCAGCAAAAAAGACAAAATCCAAGGAAAAGCATCGCTAGCCAAAAGACAAAGCACAAAGACAAGACACAAGAATATAATGACAGTCTGGAATAGTTCACAAGAGAAGATTACCCATCTCTCACCGGACTGAGGGCAGCGCGCTGAGATTACCAAACCACTGATCGCGCCTTTTCTCGACGAGTCTCCGAGCTGCGGGCCTCGGGCTGAGAAAGATGGTGCTGGTGTCGTGGCTTAGGCGCCTGCGCCTTTTGCGTCGCCGGGGTGGGAGCCTCCTTCGCAGGAGCATTATTACCGGCTGACGCAGGAGCGTTAGCGTTACCCAATAGACGATCGGCAGCTTCTCGTTTAGCATTCATGCTTCTTTCGTATCTCAGGACAAGCTCCGTCCAGGGCTTGACTTGTCCACTGCCTGCTGCATGTCCCTTGCCGACCGTTTCGGAGAGAACTTTCATCCAGCCTTCTTTTTCAGCACGACTATCCGCGTAGAAGTCAATGACTTCTCCATTGGCAAAGCGGATCCGGAATCCCTCTTCGACAAACATGTAGCCCTCCTCTTCTTCGGCAAACGCGGACTTGCGGCGACCGCCTCCCTTAGTCGACGTCTCCTTCTGAGTTAGTACACTCTTGTCATCAATCAGTTTTGCAGCTTTCGCCAGATTGATCGTAGCACGCGGCTGGCGGGTCACTTCATGGTAAGCTGTCAACTTTGATCCCTGCAGTCGGAAGTAACGACGTCGCCAGTACTGTAAAAAAAAAAACATTAGCTCATGCATTCTGCCAAACTAGTGATGAGGGAACTTACCGGACAGTCACCACCTTGCTGGGATAGGAATCCTTCGTAAGTCCGGGCTGCCGCGTTCTCGGCCTCCCGCATCTCTCGGATACATGCATTCATGCTCTTGGGCATATCTTCATCCTTAGCGCCTTTAGGCTTGGGCACATAAAGGAGCTGAAGTTCCAAGTTGCCGATCTTGTAAGGGGGGCGCTTTTGCACAGTAGTAGAGCTGCTCTTCTTGCTCTTAAGACTCGACGGCTCCTCGACCGCCCATTCGTTGAAGCAGGACACTTGCACAGTGTATGGCCGACCAAATGCGTTTTTCTCGTGGTCGCTCAAGGCTACGTATGCGCGGGCAAAGCTGCCATCAGGATCCACGAGTGTTCTCAGCTTGTCCCAGGGGCCAGAGTTTGCTTTGGCGTCCGCCTTTTGCTTTTGCTGCTGCTCCAGCTGGTGTCGGAGCTCCATTTCCTTACGTTTTCTAGGAGAAGCAAACACTCGACTGAAGGTGGAAGTCTTCTGCTTCACGGGAGAGGAAGAGACTATCGACTCCCGGGGCTGTTTCAGCTTCGTGCCTTCGACCTTCATCTGAAGCGTCAACTGGAACTCCAGATCGTTCTGGACAATGAGTTCAAACTCCTGGCCAATTGGAGCCGACCGGCCGAGCTCCATCCACGACGTTGTAACACAATGAAGACCATTGTCCAATGTCAACGAGAAATACAAACGTTCTCCTGAAATTCGGGTCAGTCACACTGACAATAGCGGATGACGAAAAGCTCACCTTTCGGGAACGGCAGGTCAAGGTCATTCACTGAAACGACCTTAACGAACAAGCGCCCTCGTTCCTCTCCGTCCTGGAAGTTGTCGGTTGCACCGTGCGATTCAATTTCGTCGACGCCCGGCTGAGCATCCTGAACATTACTTGGCATGCCTGGGAGAGGAGGAACACCTCCGGTTCCAGGCTTCTTCTTGTGGGCACCGCTCGCCATCCTCACGCTCTGACGACGCATCTTTGGATTCCAAGGCTCAGCAGTCCAGGTAGGCTGACTGGTCTTGCGAGACCCAGAATTTGCTGGCTTCGTCCCGGACGGGTCCGTTTCTGAATTCGAGGGTTGCGATTCGTCATCGTTGCTGCTAGCAATAATGACTTTCGTGTTTTGTCGCATGAGGTAACCTCTCTGTTCCACAACATGCTTGTCAGTACTGACTGCTCCAACTGGGGTGAATGGTTGGCATCCAATGTGTTCTGCTCCACGGGGTGCCTGGGGTTCAGTGTCCGGGGTACGCTGCAAGATGAATGGGTTACGTCTCAGGGAGAGGGCATGTTCAAACGCAACCTTTTGAGCCTCAATAACGCGATCGAACTCCTTGTCTAGACCGAAACCAAGGCTCTCACTTTCGCTACTCAACGGGATGTCCAGCTTGACGAGACTGCTCTGGCGCTGTGCAACATTCGGTGCCGAGGGCTGGGGAGGGTGATCATCTGAAGCCGCGTCGTCCGATTCGTCTGGGACATCTTCGTTTGTATCATCTTTGTGATCGGGTTCTGGCTCTGTGAGAGATGGCATCGGCGTTTCCTGAGCGCTCACCTTGCGGCGAACCGCAGCCATGGTCTGCGTATCGGCAGGGGTCAACGAAGGGCGAGTCTTTAGTCCAGTTCCGGGTGCCTTTATGGTCGCAACCAGATCGGGGATACGTTCTTCTTCATCTGACGATTCATCTGCTGATTCATCTGCCACCGGGTGTCGGATGACGGATTCAGGCGTCGACGGCTCGTCTTCATCGTCTCTACTCTGGTCTTCTGGTGTCATTGGACGTTGAAGAGATTCCCTGACGTTGTCCAGAGAAAAGTCGTGCTTCTCAGCTGAATCTGACGCTTCTTTATCCAATGACCGCCGAGGGCTTCCGGTTTCTGCTCTCTCATCTTCGTGGTTGCTAGACGCGGCGAACTCGTCATGATGGTCATCTACAGGCGCTGCTTCAGTGGCATTCTCGGTTCGGTTCGGGGGCACTGGCGTAGTTTGACCATCTCCAGACCCGCTGGAGAATCGTCTCTCGTCATGCAACGCTTCGTTCGAATTTCGGGAATAGTGGCTCTCATCATCATCGTCATCATGATCGTCATGTTCAGTACCATTGCCGTGAAACTCATGCCCACCAGTGTCGTGATGTTCTGGGATTGCGTAAATATCTTCCTCGTCACTCTGTTCCTCTTCTTTCACAACTACATCGGTATCCGCATCAAGACCGTCCTCTAGAGATGGTATCGGAACATCAGGGTCATAGTGAGGCAGAGGAGCAGGGCTCGAAGTTGGCTGAGAAGAATATTCATAAGAATCGTCATAACTCATGTCGTGCGTGTTCTTAATATTCCGAAGAATGGACTCTCTCGAAATGTGAGGTAGTGTTGACATATCATCAAGCGCGTTAGAATCATCTTCCTTGCTTTCCTTGGATTCAAACTCATGTCCGCTGGTCCGTTCCCGTGCCCCAGCTCGTCTCATCCGTCTCTCTCGCTGCCTCTCCGCGTCAGATTGTGGACTACCCTGGTCCTGCTCTTGCAGCATCATCAATCGGAGTCTGTCTTCCAACGTCATTGAACCACGACCCTCGGTTATGTCGGCTTTGGAATAGGAAGCAGGGCCGGGAGGAGACGGCAGGCTCCGTTGGCCACCGTTGCTTCCAAGCTCGAAGGCGGCAGAAAGCTTTGCTGAATGACTTTGCCGAGGGGATTGGTTGGAAAGTTTGGAGGATGGCAGAGGCGGCAGAGGCCGTCTTTCACCGTTCGAATCGAAGGAGTCAACTCGCGACTGTCTCTCCCCGAGGCCACTGCTTGAGGTCGGCCGACCGTCTGGATTGGAGCTGCCGTGCTCATCAACGAATGGATCCTCCTCCCCTTGCACCAGCTCGTCGTTAGCGGAAGCTGGGCTCATGAACCGCCAGTCCTCCGGAAGCACGACAGGGGTCTTTTCAATGTCTTCGAGGGAAGCATCAAAGCTGTCATCGTGATCTGCTGAGGAGCTACGGTCGAAGCTGACGTCAGCTTCGTCCTCCTCAGAATCATAGCTTCCCTCTCGCGACTCTGACGCGATTGAGGACGGGTCTGGTGTAGTCATTTCATACTCATTGACTTGAGGTGGTGCAGCGTCAAAAGTGACACTTTTGGCTTGGCGAGACTGGGCTTGATCATCCGCGAAGCGCTGGGGGGACGTTCCGGCTTCATCGGACCAGATCTCACTCTCCGGGTCGAAGGGCTTGTTGCCGAATCGAGTGGCCTTTGACAGGGACGACTTCGCAGGGGACGCCTGATTCTTGCTGGGTGTAGGCGGTCTCTGCGCCGTGGGTTTTGGTGCTTCAGCCGGTTTATTCTGGCCGCTTTGTTTCGCTGGAGACGCTGGCGACTTGGACGCTGCGTGGAACTGGCTGCGGAAAGGCCGTCCACTTGCCAACGGGCGGTCCAAAACGCGGACGTGTGCGGGATCGTACTCCTGTTTCTGTTCACGCGCGAACATGCTGCTGTTCTTGACGCGCGAAGCGCGCTTGAGCTTCTCAATTGAGGGCCGCTTGGACGGGGTATATGATGCCTCTGGGTCATAGGGTTTCGCGTTCTCTGAATTCAGCGACGATTCCGAATCCCGACCCTGCCAGAACTGGCGAGGCGACTGTGATTGATTGTAAGGAGATGAATCAAAGGGCGATGAACTCATCATCATCTGAAGACGTAGGTGAGCAAGCTTCCCAGTAATCTGGGATGCTGGTAGATCTAGTTACCTTGGTTGTCTGATTCCAACTCGGAGAATTGCGACGCTGAGCCATTGGGCTCAGCTCCGACAGCGGACGCTGTCCTGTGCCGTTTCCCATCTTCGTGTAACACGATCAGAAGCAGCTGTCTTAGTTCTGTGCCAGTATGCAGTCAGCAGTGAGTAGATTCAAAACAACAGCAAACATAATGGACGCGTCTGTCCCCGCGACAAGTAGAAGTAGGCCTACCTTAGTGTAGGTTGGAGCTAAAGCAAGCACCGCGGTGCTACGATGATCGACCAGAGATATGGGCTAAAAAAAAAATCCTAGCAGCGTTAAGTGTTCATTCAACGTGGCCTCAATGCCGGTCACTGTTGGAATGTTATGGCACAGCTAGAAACACGGTACTGGAATTGACAAGGTCAATCTAGGGCGGCTCAAGGAATTGATCCTGAAAAGAGCAAGAACAACGAGAAACAAAAAGCGACAAACAGCCGATTGCAAGGCAAGACAAAGAAAAGAAAGATCAAGGCAGACAAGAAAGACGAGGCCGAGGGAATCCTTGGGCCAGGACGTGAGGCAGAATAATAAACTCGAGGCTGGCATCGAGGGACCGGCCGGTGTTGACCCGCGGGACACTGCCGTCGCCGGGGCAACGGGCAGAAGATCGCCCGATCCCGCGCCCGGGCGACATGTGACTGGTCAAGGGCGCCATCCCCCATCGGGCTTAGCGCCGCTGCCCTTACTCCGCGTCTTGGCGTTTGCTCCTTGCCGATCCAAGCTAATTTTTTTTGTCCGATCCTCAGCCATCCCTATCGCCTCGACAGTTCCTCTGCGGCCTGGCAGCATGTTCGTCTCCAGGTCTGTCTGTCGGGTGTGCCTGACCCAGGCCGGGGGTCCTCGCCCGGCCTCCCGCCCTGCTGTCGCCATGGCAGTTCTCGCGGTCCGTGGTGTCTCTGCGGATGCGTCGAAAGGCTGCGAGGATGATGCTGTCGCCCGATGTCGCCAAAGCCGATCTGAAGCGGGAAAAGCGGGCTCGCAGCGAGCAAGGCCCATGGGGGAATCTCAACCAGACAGAGGCTGACATCCGTGGAGAGCCCAGGGCCCGGTCCCAAGCGGAGATCAAGCGGGCTACGAGGGGACGAGAGGAGGAGTCGGAGAATAAAGAGTCACCTCTATACAAAGCGCTCAAGATGCAGACGGCACTGGCGCCCATGAACTACGGCCTGAGGATGGCCATCAAGGAACGGATTGCGAACATCACCAGTTTTGACCAGTTTTCTCTCCTGCCGGTTGTGCGAGATTCGATCTTTACCCAGGCGCTGCCCGGCCTCGTCGACGTCACTCCCTCCCCCATCCAGCGTGTTGCAATTCCAGCATTACTGGAGACGGTTGACAAGAAAAAGAAAGTGGAAGACGCGGAGGAGGGAGAGCCGACATACCGTCAATACCTCCTGGCGGCGGAGACTGGGTCCGGAAAGACGCTTGCTTATCTTGTCCCGGTGATCGATGCCGTCAAACGGGCGGACCTGGCTGAGCAGGAAGAGCAAGCGCGGAAGGAGAAGGAAAAGGAGGAAGAGAATGAGAGAAGAAAAAGAGAGCGGATTTTTGAGCTCGAGCCCCCGCCGCTTTCGGAGAACCTCACCACGAATGCAGGACGCCCTCGGGCGATCATTCTGCTCCCGACCTCGGAACTGGTGGCTCAGGTTGGCGCCAAAGTGAAGGCGTTCTCACACACGGTCAAGCTCCGTACTGGCCGCATCTCCTCGGCGGATTCGGCACGTAAGATCCGCAACATTGTGTTCAACCCGAAAGGGATCGACATCCTGGTCTCGACGCCGCACCTGCTGGCCTCGATTGCGAAGACTGATCCGTACGTGCTCAGTCGGGTGACACACCTCGTTGTCGATGAAGCAGACTCGCTCTTGGACCGGTCATTCTCACCGACGACCATGGAGATCATCGACAAGGCCGCCCCATCACTCGAGAAGCTCATCCTCTGCTCGGCCACGATCCCTCGCAGCATGGATTCGTTCCTTCGCAAGCGGTATCCGGACATCCGGCGCCTGGCGACGCCCAATCTGCACGCGATTCCCCGTCGAGTGCAGCTCGGCGTCGTGGACATTGACAAAGACCCGTATCGGGGCAACCGGAGCCTGGCCTGTGCCGATGTGATCTGGTCGCTGGGCAAGGCGGGCGACGGCGAATCGCGGGGCCCGTTCGCGTCGTACATGGGCCCGAACGAGAAGAAGATCATAGTGTTTGTCAACGAGCGAGAGGAAGCGGACGAGGTGGCCAAGTTCCTGTACGCGAAGGGGATTGACGCCGTGTCGTTCAACCGGGACTCTGCGGACCGCCAGAAGGAGATCCTGGCGCAGTTCACGGAGACCAAGCCACCGCCAACTCCGGAGGAGATCATGGAAGCACAGCGAAAGCGTCGACTGGAAGACTCGTCGATCCCGTTCGAGATGCCCGGGAAAGAGGCCAAGGAGACGGGGCCGACGAAGAGGCTGCCCAACACGAAGGTCCTGGTGACGACGGATCTGGGGTCTCGAGGGATCGACACGCTGCCCGTCAAAACGGTGATCCTGTACCACGTGCCGCACACGACGATCGACTTCATCCACCGGCTGGGCCGGGTCGGGCGCATGGGCAAGCGTGGACGCGGCATCGTGCTGGTGGGCAAGAAGGACCGCAAGGACGTGGTCCGTGAGGTCCGCGACGCGATGTACAGGGGGCAGGCATTGATCTAGCGCATTCTCCTTTTTTGTGTTGTGTATACTATGGAAGTATTTAATACATACATACATATACGTGCGCGGAATCATAGTACGTACGGCACGGCACGGCGCGGCGTTTTGGGACTCTCCATTTATTCGGTTTGGGGATCGATCATTGAGGCATGTCACTGTATAATAGACAGGTTGATTGATTGATTTAACAAAAAGCAAGGTTTTGGGCAAAAGATCCTGGCAGGCAGATATCTAGATATCCTGTACTGTACTGTTCTGTACTGTACTGTACATACAAGCAAGCCTTGTTTAAACGAGTTGAGTTCTCTCCGCTCGTCTCGTCTCGTCTCATATCGTCTCATCTTAGCTTTAGAGAGAAGAGGTAGGGGAAATATTACCTCTTAAAAAAAAACACCAATTAATGAATCCCCTCACCATCTATAATATATGGATTTGTTTCTATACAATGACAAGACTAGACTAGATAAAAGAATGTCTGTCTGATCGAGTTACAGACTCTTTCCATTTGGAAAGCACCTCTGTTCATCCCCTTCATACTCACACTCATACTCATACTCATACAGCAAGCTGTTTGCTCAGACCTTCCACTCCCTCACCACCACTCGTCTTCTCCCGAAACTCCCTCTCCGCCTTCCAAGCAAGACAGCTCTTGCTCGCGAAGAGGATATCCAATTGCTCGAGCTGGCGATTTGCAGTTTCTGAAAATCTCATTAGTAACGTCTTCGTCCTACATCACAGATGCGAACGTTCGACTGATGGCAAACTCACCAACATAGAACAGCAATATCGGCACTAGCATCGCCAGGTTCACTAACGCAAAGAGGATGAAGACCCAGAACCCGATGGCGTCGATCAGGTAGGGGATGATCTCGTTGATGGTGCCGCCGGCGAGAGAAAAGGCGATGGTCGCCAGGGCGACGCCTTTGCTGCGGCTGGCGAGGGGGAAGACTTCGGTGGGATAGACCCAGCTGGACGGGACAAGGACATCAGGTCAGCAGGGGTTCTGGCCAGCAAGACGAGGAACAAGGACACTAGAGTGTATGTAGGTAGGTATACTCACCAAGTCGTCAACCACGTACTGCCATAGATAAAAGTGTAGATATACAAAACGGCCGCAACACTCGCCCCAAAGCTACTCGCCTTTACCGGGTCGCTGGAGCTATAGGCAAGCGTCTCATGCGAGAGCACACCCCCGACAATCAACACAACGCCCATGAGCGAACACCCAATGAGCATCATCTTCCGCCTGCCGACATGGTCACAGAGATAGATAGAGAGCGCCAGACTGGCGATGTAGCCGAACCAGTTCCCGCCCGCGAGCAGCGCAGGCTTGTCACCCGTGAATCCCGAGAGAGCAAACATATTCGGCGCATACACGCTTATGAAGTCGATGCCCGTGCATTTCTGCATGATCTGCACACCCGCGCCCAGCAACAACCTCCGACGGGTGTGCAGCTTGTCCTTCTTGAAGAGCATGCTGTAGAAACTGGCCGATGTGGACGACGCCTCGGCTCGGATGGCGAAGAGGATCTCATCCATCTCACGCTCGGTGGGCTCGGGGCTTGCATCCACGCGAGCGCGCTCCAGCACCGCGCGAGCCGCGGAGAGATTCCCAGTCTTAGCGAGATACCGCGGCGATTCCGGGTAGAAAGGCGCGGCGGCGAGGATGATGATAAGGAAGATGATCTGGAAGCCGAGCGGGAAGCGCCAGGAGAAGGCTTCGCTCTGAGTTTTGACGCAGGCGAACTCCATCCAGTAGACGCTATCAAACACGTCAGTCTGGACACGTCTAGACACTGTATATGTGTATATACTCACATAGCACTCCCCGTCATCGCGAGCGTAAACTGAACTGCCACAAAAGCCCCCCGAAGATGCGGATCCGCGAGTTCAGACGTCCAGACAGGAACAGTCGTGTTCAGATGTCCACAACCAATTCCACTGATGACACGCGAAATCGCCAGACAGGTGATGTTTTGGGCAGAAGCAAGAAGTGCAGCCCCCAATATCCCCCAGATACAGCCGATCTGAATGGTCTTGAGCCGGCCAATTGCATCGGCAGTGTAGCCGACCAGGAGGGCGCCTGTTCAAATCCGTCAATGAATTACTTCACTAGCCATGTAGGCAAAAGGGGGTTAAAAAAGCAAAAAAAATTGTTAGATAGAACCTACCAATAGCAAACCCGCCAAACCACAAACTCACCAACCCCCCAATGGCGGCAGCATCCCGAGCACTCCCACTCGCGACGCCCATCCGCTGCTGATAATCCGGGTTGTTGTTAACCTGGCTCATGACGGCGGTGTCGTAGCCAAAGAAGGTGATAGCGCATCCGGCAAAGGCGAAGATGGCGTAGGTCATGGCCCGGCCGCGCAGGGGCAGGCATCGTGAGGGCGAGTATCCGCCGGGGATGTACTTGGCGAAGGCGGGTTCGGCTGTAAAATGACCTCGTTAGTTCATGAATTCGCTTTGGTAAAGCAATTGATAGGTTATGGAGATGAAGTAGATGTTTGGGAAACTTACGACGGAAGATATCTGCATCCGCCGCTGTCTGCGGATTGGTCTCCAGGTACTCGACATTTTCCTTTTGCGTATTGGCCTCCATCTGAGCTGCTCGTTAGGTATGCTGTGCAGTAATAGATAAATATGCCCAGGCAGAAGGAACAACGTCAGGGAGAAAAATCGTCGGCGGAAATCACCTACCCATTATGTACTTGCTACCTGCCTATTCCACAGCAAGATAGATCGACCTGCATTTCGGACTTTCGCCGAGTCCATCAGGAATCGAAGGATTTCTGCATCAATGATAAAACTCCGTCGTCGTAGTTTTGTGGAGCTCCGGACTGTTCCCCGGATTTACCCCAGGATATCCATGCGATTATGTAACTCGCAGCATGCTGGGCGAGCGCTCTCGCTCTCGGGGGAACTCCGTCGGGGCAATTGCCGAAATCCCATCCGGAGTATATGTATTCCGGACGAGGAACCCTAAGCAAGGTGAGGAAAGCGAGGCCTTTGCAAGTTCGAACGGAGTTGTGGTGATATTTCTAGATCTGCATAGTCCGCGACTCAGAGGTTATGCAGGTTCAAACCTATTACACCACGTGCCTGTTGGCCTTACATCTTATTGTACTATTTTATAGCTTTTTCATTGAGTATTTCTCTCAAAACACAGAGGTAAGCCCGTCACAAACATGATTAATGACAAAATACTGCAGACATGTGATGCTCCTTGAGAGGATCAGCGACAGAATCAGCAAGCCGTCGTTTGGTTTAGTTACGCATGTTATTGTCACTGCCAGTCGTATATGTGCCCAGTTCATCCAACTCCCTACACCCAACTGCATTCTCCAGGAAACGAGGTAAGTCAGGCAAAACAAAGGAAGAAAAATAACGAACGGGAAGAAAGGAGGAACGGGAAAGTTCTATCCCGTCTACCGGTCAAGATACCTAATTCAGTCATATGTGGAATCGATCCTGACTTGCTCGGACGTATTCAACGCCATTCTCTACGGACACGCTGAGAATTAGGGCCTGGCCATGGGTATATTTCCAGGGCTAGAAATAGAGAAACACGGTGACACTGGTCACAGTATGAACGACTGCATTCGTAGTAATACGCTGAGGATACGTCTATCTAGGAAGGTCTAGCTGAAGATATCTAGGATCATGTCACTGCCCTAATCATAATCGCCATCGTCATAATCGTCGTCATCGTCATCGTCATCATAACCCCTCTCCAACGGTTCAAGAGGACACTCCCCATAGGGCCCACCATACACAATGTAATTCGCCTCCATTCCGTCACTCAGATGATCATTAAAATGGCAGATCAAGTACCACCAACCAGGATTAGATGCCGTCATCAACGTGGTCAGCATCTGGCCGGGGTCCATAGGGATGGTGGCGGTCCAGGCCCTGGTGTTAGGGTTGTAGAGATTGTCGCCGTGCAGGTGGTAGCTGTGTGCCTCGGTGCCCATGGAATAAAGGTACCAGATGACGCTGTCATCGACGCACATTTCAAAGGGCGGGTTGTTGGCGTAGATGTAGCCATTCAACTGCATGTACAGTACGTTAGTGTCATTCTTCCGGACATTGTTGAAACAAAAGGAGATATTACCGGATAGAATTCCGGCGCCATTTGAGCCGTAACCGTCGTCTTCGGCACATTGATATACTGCGGATACCAAATGCTGTAATTGCCGATTCCGCGAGTCACGCGTGGATACTGATCCGACACATTCGCGACCTGCGATGCCACGGCGGGGATGTATTTGCGGACGTTGTGCAGGGCGAGGAAAGAATTCCACTCGTTGTTGTTGGTGTAAAGGACGATAAATTCACGGTTCTGCTTCATCACGGACTCCATCTTCCCCGGATTGTAGATGATCACGGGCCCGTAGGAGCCGGCGTCCTGGTCTTGATACATGCTGACATAGGGGTGGTAGGACCAAAGTCTGCTTTCGAAGCCGGGTTCAGGAGCAGAGGCTGCTGGGACGAGCCTAGAAGTATATCTAGTTCAGCCATGCCAGAAACTTGGTTCCAAGGGTAGAGCTCACCATTTGTAGACGAAGCATTCTCCCGGGGGCACAGCTTGGCCGAGAGCAACGCTGTTAGTCCCATTCCAATAAATGGCGCCTTCATCTTCCTTGGTGTAATACAGCCCCATCGAATGCATGCCTGAGAAGAAATGGTCCAACTTGTTGACGAACATGATCTTTGGAAATTCAGCAGGCTGAAAGCAAGAAATATGAATGACTAACCTCTATCATATCGCCGACTTCTGCACGGAGGATTGGCCCCTGATAGCCAAGCCAGTCGGGCTGTTCCGTTCTCTCCTCGAACGAGGCGTCTGTGTATCCCCGGTATAGGGCCTTGTCGTATTTGGTCCCAATGGTGGTGTCATTGTGGATGTATCCTCGAGTCTGGGCCCGGAAGGACTCCTCCATGGGGACGCCAAGCCAGTTGTCCCAGCCTGCATGGGATGTTTAGTTGTAAGGAAAGCAGAACAAGTGTCATCATACCTGACGGAGCGTAATCCCAAGTCACGAGTTCAGCCGCCACGTAGTATCGACGAACGTTACCAGAGAAGTTGAAGCCAGTAGGAACGTAGTACGGCAGTTCACCGTTCATACGGGCTTCGCATTCCTCCCATGAATCGCGTCGAGGAGCATCGACCGTGGACGGGGCTGCAAGAACGATGGCAGCCCCTGCGAGGATAAATGAGAGCAGTATGGAATACATTGTTAATCCCGGTGCAGTTCAGCTCAGCTAAGATATAGTATGACGTTCAGCTATTGATGTTGGGACATAAGAAAAGCCTGAGTAGTGATGGGATTGGGATTGTTTAAGGGAAATTTTTCTGGGGGGATTTGGGAATAATTATCTGCTAGCATTTCTCCAGGGAAGGCATGTTGGGCCCTCATTTGGAAGGAGGGCATCGTCACGAGTCTGTTACCCGAAAGGGAAGGAGGACAGGAACGAAGGGAGAGGGACGGCAACAGACACGTGAGCGTAGAATCATTGGCTGCCAGGCGAAAATCTACAGTCACACATCTTCTTTTGTCTTCCTTTAACCAAAATTCATTTTGTAATCATATGGTTACCTCCAGCCTCGTCAACTCTGACCCGTAAAAGTGCACATATCAAAAGTCCTATTGAGGTCAGTGGTGATTGAATAAAGAGAACTTACAGAGATAAAAAATACAATGCTGTAGCCTTTGTTGGTCTAGCCACCTCTCAATGCAAAATTGATTACTAGTTTCTTCCATATATCTCCCCTTTGCTCTAGATATTCAGGATACGATATTATGATACTTTATAGTGGAGATATCAAGGATTACTGCACGTGATTGTTGCCACCTAAAATCCTGTATTTTTACACAATTTTAAAGGATTGGAATGTAATTTTTGCATCACTTCCGACGCTCAAATTTCTTCTTCTATCCCTTTGTATCTAAATACAGATACATATCACATTTCAGCTACGTTACGCCCCGGACGCCATACCCTCCACATAGAACATCGGCGAACCACCGCCGGCAGGATACTCGAGCAACACCGACGCCGGCCCATCTACCGCATTTTTGCCCTCCCAATCTGCAGCCATCCTGTAGGTCGGCTCTTTGACGTCAATACCCAACTGGTTTTTGATCAGAGCGGCCAGCTGGTCCTGCTGCCATTTGTAGTCGACTGTCCCATTGTGAGTGCCCGCAACAACAAACCCCGTCCCACCCTGCAAGTCATCTTTGTGAGCATTGATCGCATCGAGTAGTCCTGGAGCCTTCACATCTCCCGATCCTTGTGTTTGCGGTTCGTAGTGCCCGACAATGCCCGCCTTGCCGCCCGCAATGACCACGATGGTGCAGCCGTCCAGTTGACGAGACCCGATGTACTGCGCCCCCGTGCCGTTCACGACCAGCACCTGTGTCTGTCCTTCTGCGACGTCGAGTACCACGCCACTGTCGAATAGCTGCACGACCTTGGCGGGAGTTAATCCGCCTGTATCGAGAGAATCCCGTTTGACAGCGGGCGGAAGCTTTAAGGTCGTAAGGGGGGCCGGCACGGGGGTCGATAGAAAAGACAAAATCACAAGAAGCATGGCCATCAGCGGGCCAGCTAATCCAGCGGGAGAGCGCATGGTCGATGGAGCTATCAAGAGGATGAGAGTGAAAGGTAAGAAAGATGGCTTCAAAAGTATATATATTTCTTTCGATTTAAGCTGGAGATAATATTCATGGTGAGTTCTCTCTGGGATCAAGCAGATAGCAAGTTATATATTGATGTTATTCGAGTCTGGGATCCAGCTAAGACAAAGAACGAGATGTAACCCTGGGTATCTTTAGTTATTTCTTTATGGCTGTGCTATAAATATGATATAGTTTAATAGTTCGCTCTAGAAGGCCTGGTAACCTACAAAAGAGTTATCCGAGACAAAGAATAAGATAAAACCAGAGCAGCCTCAAAGTATCTAGGCTGTAATCGGCCAAATGAATGATTTCGACCTCCTCGAGTCAATGAAGGACCTTCTTCAGTTTTATCAATAGAAGTTCTTGTCGTTAGTCAGTAGACTGTCTTTATAGGGCCCTTTATTGATACTATCCTTTTCTTATAGATAACTTACAGTACAGTGACTGTATCTATAAAGACGAGAGCATATTTAAGCATATAGATTGTTATGTAATTCTACTCTACCGGGGGTGTTAGAAGATTTTTTAGTAGAGTTAAGATACGGCGCTGGCTTCATAACCTGTCCGCAAAATCATATAGCTGACCTACTGGACTCTACCACTAATTGAAACCCCTAAGTTATAAGTCCAATCAATTAGAAAAAAGCAACCATCCGCATCGAGGCTGATTCTAACCCGATCCGTCGGGGTCAGCCTGATGCCATCATTCTTTGTCTTCCACGACCACTTACTTCACCGGTAACATCACGGGAACCAGAATTGGGCATAATTAATGAGGGGGCTTTCTCGTGTGTCGAAATCAGGAATCTTAGGATTCTTGTCTGACCATGGTTTCTCCTAGGAGTCGTGATCACTGCTGAGCCAGTATGCGGTGGCCTTTCTTCCTTTTTCCCGCATTTGGGATCGGCTTCGCGATCAACAACAGCTCTCTCAACAGCTCTCTCAACGTGCCCTTCTCAGTCCAGGTGACGATTGAGGCATACAGTATCGAGTTTTCTTCATCGCTGTCTTCCACTGCCAACACCTTATCGGGCTCAGTATCCTTACAATCGACTCGAACAGGAACGTCAGTCGCTTCCACGGTGGTACCTTCAGAGACAGAGCCATTCTGTATTCCTAGGTAAGCTAGCACATTATCGACAGTGGATCCATGCTGACGTCCATTAGCCAAAATCCACATGAGACCGGGGACGAGACGAAATGTGTCTGCGGTTCTGGTATCGACGCCGTGGTTCTGCCACTCCTACCCTCGTCCAGCATGTGCTCCTATACAGCTTTGCCCACAATGACGCTGCCGCCGCCGCCGTCGACGAAACCACCACCGCCATACATAAGGACGGACCCTATTTCAGGGCTGATATGGTCCTGCGAGAGCTTATCAACAAAACCGATGGCTGGAGTGATTGTTACATACTGTGCCGGGGCCAGCGCCGTTATCGGAACTGACATGGCGATTGCCACCCATGTTCCCTACCAAACGGGGACCTGCAACGTGCATGTCCACGAGTGGGCACTAGGAGACAGCTATCCTGTCCATGTTCAGCTCAATGTCTCGGATGGGGGAGGTCATCTTTTGAACTACACCGATGCTACTACCACATGGAGTGGGAGTGTGATCATTGAGCAGAAGTACCTGGGAGGACTGCCCTACGATATTGAAGTAAGATTTCCGAGCAAACTGGATTTAAGTCATCCCATCTACGGCCCCCCTGCAATATACGCCGGGTACGAGGAGTTTATGGTGAATATCTCTGCTGGGCCGACCCAGTGGAGCAGTGCCGATACAGATACGAGCCATCTTCCTTACTGCAACGTCGGTGGCTGGAACAACGGAGGGAGTTTTGCTGACTTCGTCGAGTCTTTGTTTGGCGTGGATCACGTTCCAGTGCGTCTCTCTCTCTTCTCTCTGGTCTCTTCCCTTGGTATCCTACGACGACTAATCACTAATCTTGTCCAATCACGGCAGGATCGTCAAATGGACTGTCACTGGTCTTGTTAGGGTGAGCGTGTTTTTTTTTGTTTTTGTTTTGGAGGGAACTTCAACTTTCTCTCATTTACATATCACCTCACTCACTGAACATCTCAGAGACCTCTCAGTCTTGCTTCAATACAAGTTGTTGCACACTCACTGTTGAGACAGAGCGCCAAGCTGCATTTCACTGCCTGTATCACTGACACTTTGTCAAAGAACTTCCAAACACAGGGATATCAGTTGAAGGGGGAGACACTGAAAAGTCACCCATCTGACAGGCTTCTTCACTCCACTGCCTGTTCCAATGGATCACTTGCCAGCAGAAATCTGGCACATGCTTTGTGGCCTGGTACGTTGTGCTTGCCATGTGCACGGTTGACACTAACATGATTATAGATCTGGAAAACTTCCCCAGAAAGTCTACGTTCTCTATCTCAGGTGAACGGAACTTGCTACAATGCTACAGTGCCATTTCTTTATCAGACTCTTTCTGTCAAAGTTTCCAGCCGAGAGGGGCTCCATCAGTTTGTCGCAGAGCTGCTGGACAACCCTCGCCGGCAGCAATACCTCAGTCATGCGCGGAAACTGAATGTCCAAGGGAAGATGCCTCGTTTAGAAGAAAGTGTGGCTGGTTACTCTACGGAGGGGACTGACATCAAGGGCCGAGGTGATGTTTTTCACCAAGACGATGACTTGGAACCCCGTTTTGACGAGTACGCGTTCACGTATGACGAAGAGGATGACGAGCCCTCGGAAGCGTCACGCTCATGGAAACCGCTTGCCTTGCTGATCGCCCGGCTGAAGCGTCTGACCGAGCTGAACTATGCCTGCGTCAACCAATTTCCTCCCTGTCTGCTCCAGGCGCTCCACGAGCATCATCCAGCATGCAGACTCAATCTACACAACTTTCGCTTCCGCAGCCTGAGAGAGCCGAATACAGACCCGTATGAGATGGAGCTGATCCGCTCGCCCTGCCTTCACTCTGTGTGCGTCAAACACGTCACGCGCGATTCGAATGGCCATGAGGATTACAACGAGGACGCAATCTTCCAGGCCGTTGCCATCGCACCAAACCTCAAACACGTCAAATTGCTCCGCTGTATTCCTCACCGCACCTCCGCGCTACGTGAAGTCGCCCACATACCCAGACGGCCGTGGAAGGGCTTCGTTCCTCCAGTGAATACGGACCGGGTCGGAAATCTGACGTCGCTCTCGTTTTCTCATCTCATGGTCACCACCGAGGAGAAACTGGAACAGTGGAGTCGGTACACGGATCTCTCAAAACTGCAGGCCCTCGCCTTCGGCAGTCCTTGGACGTCGGATGTTTTGATGAAAGCCGCGACAATGGCTCCGTTCAAGTCCCTGGAGCGGCTGTCTATCTGGCTGGAGCCTACGAGCCAGGACGCCAACTTCCAACTTGCAACGGAGATGTTTTTTGAGAGTCTTAATCCATTAAAGACTCTGCGACTGCACGGAAAAATGGACGCGTCTTTGGTGAGCAAAATCCTTGAGAGGCACGGGTCTGCCTTGCGGGAGTTGATGCTCGATCCGTATGGGATCAAGTTTATGGATCTCGACATTTCCAGTTTTGGGGAATCCTGTCCGCTGGTGGAGGAGCTGCACTTGCCCGTCAAACGAACCAAGAGCGACCGTCGTGAGACGCGTTGTTACGAAGCGATTGGCAAGTTCCCATCGCTGGAGAAGCTGTTCCTCCGTCTTGAATGCTCCGACATGTGGCGGCAAGACTTGCCCAGCGCCGACGAATATGAGGAGGAACTGGACGACTTCCACAGGCAGCCCACCATTCCCAGAAATTCGAGAGTGTTCGGGATGAATAATGAAGAACCTCTGCTCAATTTCCACGTCCGCGACGCCCTGATCAACTCGGCTGTGGACGAGCAGCTGGCGCGGTCAATCTGGGATCGGATTGCGGCCAATCAGCCGAGCGGCCGTCTCTCGTCTGCGACAATTGCCCCGAGGGGAGGCGACTTTTTCGGCAACGCTACTGCTCCGTTCGAGCTGGTGATCCGTGTGGAACACATGGAACGATCGTATCTGATCACCAAGAGGGCGAGCAGCAGCAGCAGCAGCCAAGTCGAAGTTGTGGAAATGGGCAGAGAAGAAAGAGAAAGTCGCGACAGGACTCAACGACAGACCGTCAAGACGCTGGAGGGTTGGGGTTGTCAGCTGTATGAAGACGACGTCCACCTAGTTTTTCAGAGAATCTGGCCTCCGAAACCCGGCAGTCGAGACTGGCGGGATGACTGGAGCAGCTGGTCATTGCAGCCGTCTGCTGAGTAGTTGAGCGCCTAGCATGATGGATCAATCACTTGGGTCATTTCTCGCTTGAGGGTTGTCGTTTCTATGAACAGACATGTTTGAGTGAAAGAAACAGTGTAGATTAATTCCCGTTGGCATTATTGAATAGCTGACAAAAATTTAAAAAAAATACATACGAGCACAATATCCTCAATGTGTAAATCATTCAAAATTCAATAAACGAATTTATTATTACCCACATAAAGTCTGGAAATGCGGAGTTGGTTCTCTAATCAATGTTGATGCGGGGTATTTAATTAATCCCGCCTTTGAGATTTAAATAAAAACCTACCTACCAATTAGTAACGTAGTTGTATCTAATAATAAATCGAATCTCAGATCCGATCCGACGCTGTCCCGGTGGTTCTCCACATTTGCCCTAGTCTACGTTACATTGAATGGAATCTAGGCCATGCTAGCCATGCTTGTTATTTTTTATGGTTTACCTAGGTTAAGCTAGACGTATTTATTTACTAGCTAGTACTGTACATCTGCCGACGTATTTGGATGGTTGGATGTTATTTATCGTCGTCACTTGCCCGGAAAGTCATACAGTACTCTATACAAATCTACCTGCAGTCCTACTCGAGAACGACGATATCAGGAGTTTACAGCACAGCATACAAGCAATGAGATCATAGAGCACCACAATATATTTTTCACAATATATATATATATATTTTCATCTGGCTGATTGACTCATTGACTGGATCTCTCCCGTGACAGTCACACAATGTCCCTCCCCACCATCACATTAACCGCCGAAGAACTCTCAACAAAACGCCTCTCGCCATACCACCTGCAAACGGCCCTCGAAGCCCTCCACCGCGATGGCATCGTCGTCCTCACCAACGCCATCCGCCCGGTCGACGCCCTCGACAAGCTAAACGCCGAGATGGTGCCGCGCGCCCGTCAACTGTTCGCCGACGGCGCAACGCAGCGCAACTTCGGCGAGGCGACGGGCAACATTCAACAGGAGCCGCCGATGCGGGCAGACCTGCTTTTTCCCTCCGTCGTGGCGAACCCCTTCGCGACGGAGATCGTCTCGTGCATCGTGGGCCCGGAGCCCTGTCTGCGATACTACTCTGCCAACACGCTGTTTAGGACCGAGACGCAGGGCCGCCAGCCGCCGCACGTCGATATCAACTTCCCCTGCCCCGTCATGCCGTTCGGGTATCTGATCAGCATCTACCTCGTGGACGTGGGTCCGGAGAATGGCGCGACGGAGTTCTGGCCTGGCAGCCACAAGGTCGTCGCTGATTTCAACCATGTTGTCCCCGAGGAGCTGCTCGAGCAGAGGCGCAAGATTGCTCCTCCCGTGCAGCCTACGCTGCCCCGTGGCAGTCTCGTTATCCGCGACTTTAAGCTCTGGCATGCTGGCCTGCCGAACAAGACGGACGAGCCGCGCGTCATGCTCGGCACGGCGCTGCTGGCCAGGTGGTGGCAGTGTAAGATGACGACGCCGTGGCCCAAGACGCTCGCTGACAAGGACGCGTTCGATTGGGGTGGTGTGACTCCGTGCCTGAGGTTTGTCGAAGAAGGGGAAGAGTACAAGCGGGATGTGGCCAAGGGGGATTATGATTTCTCTCAAGTGCTGGAACGGCCGGCGGAAGAGAATTCTACTGAATAGAAGGCACGAAGTCTAACTGTTGCTCTCAATGCATGTGGTATTTGTACAGTGCAGGTCAGACGGAACTATGCGACATGACATGGATGACATGGATAGAGACGCTTGACATTGGAATTAGAACTACAGCACGTCTCAAAAAGAAGAAAAGGAAACGAAAACAAGAACAGAAAAAAAAATGTGAAACAGTCCAAACTCCGCAAAAAGATACAGCTCCAATACAATACACCACTTGCGTGGTAGTAGTACATCCGTAAACCGATCCTAACTCCAATTACCTCGAGCACAAACCTATCGCTAGAACAAAAAACCGCAAGAAAAAAGTACGACTACTAACAAGTTTACCCTACATCGTCTTCCGCAGCTCCCTGGTTCGCCGTCTGGTGGCCCGCGTGGTCCGCCGTTCATCCGGCTCGCTGGGCTCCGTCTCACTCCTCGTGTCAGCCGACAACTCCGGCGTCGGGGTGATGCCGAAACTGACCCCGCGGCTCTTGCGGTCGATCTTGGCCTCTTCCTCTGGGTGCAGGAACCGATGCACCGTGCGGTGGTCCATCACCCGCTCTTCGTCGTCGTGAGGACCTTCCTTGTCGGTCTTGGGCCAGCGGTACCCGTACAGCTTCGAATGCCGTTCGCAGCGGGGGCATTCCTTGCGCGTTTGATACGCGTTCTCCTGCAGGAACCACGAGCCGCACGTTTGGCAGTCGACCCAGCGGTCGTACCGCTGAGCGAGCAGCTTGGGAGTCTTTGTGTAGTCGCCCGGGACGCGCACCCCAGGAGAGACGTCTTCGACCGACGGGACCACATAGCGCTTGCGGCGTTTCTTCGTTTTGTTTGCCTTGACTACCGTCTCGAGCTGGTCATCTAATTCCCACGAATTAGACAACTCTGAAAGTTCGCTGCTTTGACTGCCGTCCGAACCCGGCTCTGCTGGCTGACCCGGTTGACCTGGTTGACCTGGTTGACTTGTAGATGGTGCTTCCGCGCCTGAACTCTCTGCAGGCGGTTCAACCGAGTCGACTGACTCGGTTTTGATCTTGTCCCCCATGTCACACACCGATGTAGGTGCGGTCGACTGCTGACCGTCATCTCCCGTGGAGGAACGAGGGGAGTTATGGTCAGTACAAGCTGGCGTGGCCGTCTCCGAGTTTTGTCGCGAAGGACCCGTGTCGACACCCTCTGGCGTGTCTGTGCTGGGCTTGGTCTCATTCTGCTGGGCGAGATTGGACAGGGAATTATCCAACGTCGAGAGGAAGGAAGACTGCTCGGCAGATTCGGTGGCATCGGGTAAAATCTCCTCCCGCAGCTTGGAACTCCGTCGTTGGAATTTCGCTTTTTTCCGTGGTGTAGAATGCTCCGGCTCCTCTGATCCGGATTTTCTCTTTCCACGAGGCGACGAAGAAGAGACAGACTCGCTCCTCGTGTCATCCTCCGCAGCGGGTGTGGATGAATTGCTCTGCGGTGCAGAATTTGCTGGCTGAGACCAGCCATTGCGAACAAGGCGCTCGCATGTCTCGCAGAGGCATTCACAATTGTCAATGCCAAAGTAGTCGTCGCCGTACGAGACAGTGATCTCTTCGCCAACATGGATGTCGCGGGTCGCAACCACCTGCATGCCCTCGGATCCGCGGGTCACCAGTTTTCCGTTAGCGTCACAGTCGTGGTTCGCAAATCGAGCCGGTCCCAGGAACAGCGACGGTGTCTTTTTCCTGCTGGACATGACAATGCTGAAATCTTTCCGTGCCAGATCCAAGTCCTTCTCCTCTTCGCGCGTCATGGCCACGAGAGTCCCGCTGAGGTACTTGATCTCTTCGCCCTTTTTGATAAACTTTCGGGCCGACACAGCCGCCTCCTGGTCGGTGATCGTATACCGGTTGGTGGTCGTGATTTCGAAGGGGCATTCGGGCAGATAAATCTGGATGTACTTGCGCAGGTGCCGTCGGAACCACTCCTTCTCCCGGTCGTTCGGCAGCCTGGCCATATATTTACTCAGGCCAGGCAGCGCAAGCAACTCCTTCTCCGCCGTCGCGAGGTCCCTTGCGACGACAATGTGGTGGAGAATGATGCGCCCTACGTCTTCCTCGCGAATGCCTCTCGCAGCAGCAAACTTGGTCCTGTTCTTGCGAGTCTTGGTCCAAAAGTAGGCCTGAGAAACCAGCTGTCAGCAACTGGCCGTCAAGAGCAGGAGAGGGCAACACGGACACGATCAATGAGCGCATCTGTCGCAACATCGTCGTAGCTCGCCAATTTGGCAAGCGTCAGGCGTTCCCGCCGTCCCTCAACAGACGGACTCGACTTTGCCCTCGAGGGCGGCATGATGGCTCAGCCGGAGGAATTGGAAGGATGTCTTCACGATACTCTCAGATTTGCCGGCAAATCGAACAATTCTATGTCAACAATTCAAGAACAGAAAAACAAATTGACGATAGGGATGGAACGAGAAGGACGGAACAGCGGACCAAAGGAGTGGAGTAAGACTCAGAAAGAAACCCAAGAGTGCGGTGAATGGAAGACCAGTCGCATAGCGAAGTGAATCGCGAATGCGGCCGTCATGAGGGACTGTCGCGACTAGACCAGGCGGCTATGGGTCCAAAATAGCGTGGCTGGGGCAGGGTCCAACGCTCAGCTGGCGACCAGGGGCCCTGAACAGGTGTTCAATGAAGAGACTACTATTAATTAGGACAGGAGATGGCCGGCACTGTTACGCGCTGCGCCATCGCCGGTCCGCATAGCAGTTGGCGTGCTTGGGCTTTGTTGCTGCCGTCCGGGGTCGGCGTCGGCGAAACCCCATCCGACGGATCCCGAACCCAGTCAAATCTTTGGCAGCAGCAGCAGCAGTTAGTAGTCTGTCAGTCAATTAATTGACTAATTGATTGAATTGCAGTCCACCACGCAATGCATTCACGATGATCCAACTAAAGGTTTGTTCGAGCCTGCAATGTTCCTACAATCCAGCTGGGTGCTCAACTGACGCGCTGCGCAGACGATGCTTAATTGCATCGACAACTCGGGGGCCGCCGTTGTCGAATGCGTGAACGTCCTGAAGAAGAAGACTCCGGCGAGGGTCGGTACGTACTGTGACTCCTCCTCTCTTTACTTCCGCTGTCGATCCTTTCTGTTCCTTGCTGAGGCGATGTTCAGGTGACCGGATTGTCGTCGTCGTTCAGAAGCAGCGGAACTTTGGCCCCGAGAACTCCACCAACAGCGGTATCGCCAACAAGGTCCGTCGGGGAGACATCCGTCATGCGGTGGTCGTTCGAGCCAAGAAGGAAATCCAAAGGCCGGACGGCAGCGTCGTCAAGTTCGACGACAACGCCTGCGTTCTGGTCAACAAGTCGGGAGACCCCATCGGAACGAGACTAAACGGTCAGTCTACATCCGCCGTCGGCTTGTGCTTGAAACATGGTACTAACTCCTGCTGTAGGAGTCGTCGGCGCAGAATTACGGGGAAAGCAGTGGTCCAAGATTCTGTCTCTGGCACCCATGCACGTGTAAAATAGTACAAATCAATGCCATTAAGGAAATAATTCAGTATCTCCATTCATGCTTTTGTATAAACACCATGCTATCAACAGAAAAATAATTCTTTAGAGCCCAGACCCGATACACAATGCATCTTGATCACCATCCCATAATAGCACCATAACTCCGAATTCGAAACGACTAGGATATCAAAACGGGGTATCGAGAATCGAGAAATGCACGGCCGTTATCACGTGAAGACATTACCGCAAGTGCAGCACACGTAGTAGAGTTTCTGAGGGGAAACACAAGTTAAATCATGCTCAGCGTCCTAGGATTCAGGGGTGTATGCGTACCATTCCGGTTTCAGCGGAACGTTGTTGAGACTGGAAAAACACAGCTTCGTTCTCACCGCAGCTCGGACATAGTTTGTTCGATCGCGGTAGCTATGTGGAGAGCGTGTTAGCCATGAAAATAATCAAGATTCTCTTGCAAATCAATCAGGACGGCATGACGCCATCCGCTTCTTCGTCCTCCTCCGAGTCAGGAGAAGGGTCATCCACGAAGGGTCCATAGGCGCGCGTCCCACAGTCGGAGCACGCGATTTCTTCACCACAAAAGGTGCAGAACTCCGGAATACCAACCGTAGGATCGGATGCCACATCCTGGGTGACACCGGCAGTGTCTCCTACTTGGAGGTTGAGTCTGTTCTGGTAGACACACGGCGACGTGGCGGGCTCGGAGACATGGCAGGTGCGGCAGGTGAACATGAGTCGGTTATTCACCCGGTCCTCTTTGGGGTACAGAAGGTTGGAGCTGGAACTGTCAGCCAAATGCACCACAATCACGAAGGGATCTGCACCCACCATTCTCGGCAGAACTTGAAGTGAATCTGGTCGACGTTGGACTTGTCGCCACCGGTAGATGAGGCAGCAGGACTGGCAGACATATTGCAGGCGTCGATAGAAAGCTCGATGGCAGGTAGCTCTGCAAGACGGTATAACTAGGTATCTGACCAAAGGATCGAAAAAGGCGTTGAGCGCAGGAAGCTGGTGGCAGTCGCTGATAAACTCCAGCGATGGCGAGCTGCTTGCGGCGGCGGCGAAGTCTGAAGAAGCGTGGCCGATCACGCTAGCTGTTTGGGGCCAAGCGTCAGCCTTATCCTAGTAGCGTCGCGGCAACCGCTCCGCCCGCCTAAGTCCCCGCAGTTCTTGAACAGTGGAAAAGCATCACGTCCGCTCACAACAACCGCTGTCCCACCACCGTTTGCATGCAGATTTGGGCTGCAATTACCTGGATACAAAGAGACATTTGGAGTGCTGATTTTTGTTTTTCTTGTCTGGAAATCAGCTTTAGTGATCGTATTCTTGGGTGGTTCGCTGTGCTTTGTTTGTTGTCATCATGGTACGATCTCCGCTTTCTGGCTGTGATTGCTCGCAAGTCATAGATGATTGTGTCGTGAATATGTCGGCAGCTGACCCAGGCCCCAGGCCGATATAACAGGTCTTCCCTTTGGGTGGGAAGTTCGCCATTCCAACTCCAAAAATCTTCCCTACTACTTCAACCCCATGACCAAGGAATCGCGCTGGGAACCCCCGCCAGGCACCGACACTGAGAAACTGAAGGTCTACATGGCTCAATATCACAGTGGCCCCATGCATCCTGCTCACTCCGGCCTGGGTAATGAAGGCAAGATCCGATGCGCTCACCTGCTCATCAAACACCGTGACAGCCGTCGACCGAGCAGCTGGCGAGAGGCGGAGATCACGAGGTCGAAAGAAGAAGCCATCGAGATTCTCCGTGGCCACGAGCGTCGCATAAAGTCGGGGGAGGCTCGTTTGGGTGATATTGCTCTCACAGAATCAGACTGCAGCAGCGCTCGAAAGAAGGGTGACCTGTATGTACTGGACGGACAACATTTTTGGAGCCATAGCTGACTGGTGTGCAGTGGCTTCTTTGGTCGAGGCGAAATGCAGAAGGAATTCGAAGAGGCTGCGTTTGCGCTTCAGCCTGGGCAGATCAGCGGAATTGTTGAGACTGCTTCGGGTGTTCATCTCATCGAGCGGTAAGTCAATTTTTTTTTAAGAAATGCCTTCATTCCAGGACTAATACCCTTTACAGGATCCAGTGATTCCGTCGGTAAGCATTTACGATTACGTCAATACCCAGGGAAAAGGAATGGGATTTGGTTTCCTTTTGAAGGCGTCAGGTGCATGATTTCTCGACTACTTGTCATAGCATGTCCATACATTTCGGAGGAAGCTGGCCTGACTTGTCCTTGAGCAATTCAATATTGCCTGGACAGTCTCCAGATGGATCCTTGCACATACGAAGCACAGCATGTGTTCGACGAGGAACTACAGGGCTAGAATATTGCAGGATCTCAGTTATGAAATAGACAGATACCTGTGCTTAGTCAAAACTCCATCGATCTTGAGAAATAAAATTCTCGAATCGAACACCTTTACTAGCCCCGTACTTTGTATCTCTAATGCTGTTCACAGCACTGTCAATGTTCTTCCTGCGTTGAATCTAAAATATTTCCCTGGTATTCAGGTTTCCTTCTCTGCCCCTCCATCGTGGAAAAATCACCCCTCCGCTCAGGAGATAGACCTACATTATCCATGTCAACAAGCGGCAGCTTCCGTCAACGCCATTGCTTTTTGTGGCATCAATTCCGTGGTCACTAGCCTTGCAAACTCTTCTCTTTGCATTCACTGTTCTCCAGATGGAATAATCTAGTGACCATCCGCCTTCCAAAAAGGGTTCTTCGCAGCCTCCCATCTCTCCAACTCACTCTTCTCCCTCCCCTCCTCCTCTCCCTCCTGCTCGTCCCCTCCTGAGCAGCCCTCTCTCAGTGGAGCTGTAGCCAAGGCAGTTTGTTGATTCCCTGCCTTGGAGCTCAGCCCAGCCTAGCCTAGCTCAGCTCAGCTCCCTCTCAATCTTCTTGGAGAGGTTCGTGTCTTTCCAACTGCTAGTCCGTGATTCTGCTCCCTGACTGACAATCTCAGGCTGCGAATCGACTGAATCGGCTCCAGCCGATCGATCGTATCATGTTCAACCCTTACCAGCCACTGCCCATGCTGTACCAGCAGCAACGGGATCCGACCCAGAGGTTTCGCTCGCTACCGTACATCTACGACTGGCAGCAGACCCCATTCCCCCTCTACGTGGGCGCCGTCATCCCGCCAGCGGTGGCCCGTCAGTTGGAGCACGTCCGGGCCGCAGCCAGCGCAGCGTCGAGCGCCATCAGAACCATAGACCGGCTGTGGAGGAAGCGGTATCACTTCCTATGCCCGAGCACGAACGCAGAAACCCACGCCGCCCACGTCCGCGCCATCAACCTGCTCGTCAAGTGGAAGGAGGCCTTCCAGGGACCGGGCGGCAGAGGGCTGCACGAGACCCTGGCCCCGCCGCCCAAGATCCCGGCATACCTCGTGAGCGACGTCACGATCGACGAGAAGACCTACCACGAGTTCTTCGTCACGCTCACGCACCTGCGCGAGCAGTACCTGCAGGGAGCGCACATGCAGTGGATGGCGGCGAAGCGGAACCTGGAGGAGCTGCTCATCGACGCGCCGATCAGCGAGATGGACCGCCACAACTGGCTGCGCTGGTGGGTGAGCTACCTGGGCAAGATGAAGGTGTGGGAGCTCCGCGTGCAGGAGATGGTCCCGCCGTCCTGGGACGAGATCTGCGCCGAGGTGAGCGAGCTCGTCGAGATGGCGGTCGATATGACGGGGTCGTTGGATGAGGAGCTCAGTCTGCCGGTTACGGATGCGACGTTCTAGACTGGACTAGACGTTATTTCCTCGAGGGTTCTATCTAACTGGGAATTGGGGAAGTTGATGGCAGCACAGAATCCGGACACATGGGAGAGCCATTTTTCTTCCTTTCTTTCTTTCTTTGACAGACAGACAGACTCTTTCATCTCAATCAGGCAATAATTCCTCAGAATATAAGAAAAAAAAGGCTCTTCTTCTTCTTACTCCCTTCTACCCTTAAAAATATCACTTTTCTCTACCTATCTTCATCGTTAAACCCAAAAAGGAAAGCAGATAAATCACACCAGCAGCCTAGTAGGCATCTCATTTCCTTCAACACAGTACATACATATGTACCCAATACAACCTTATTACCGCATAGTTCGATACGACAATTGCCGAGTTGTGCTGTTAGTAAATAATAATAGATGGTGGTCGTTGACTACCTCTAGGTTGTTGTTTGTAGAATGTCACGTGATGCAGGAACCCTACCTAAGTATGTACATGTACAGTAGTACATAACGGTGGGTGTTCAGATGCTTCTATTTTTCCCTACCCAAAAATATTTAGAATATAATACAGTAGCTACGCGCTTATTATATATAATGACACAAATTGAGTGATGATAATGATGGTGATGATGACGACGGCGATGCTTTTCTAAACCTTTTCACACTGTGCTCAGCAGCTCCCTCCTAGATAGATATGAGTGAGCGGAGCAAACAAAAACGCTGATTGATGCTAAATGCTAGGATTATCATTTTTTTTCTCTATCTATCAACCAAGAAAGAGAGAAAGAAAGAGGGGGAAATCATCCATCATTACATGACCACCACTACCAAGGTACTCCGGACAGTGCGATCAATCAATTCATTCGCTTGACTATAATAGAGGTAGAGGCAGAGGCCAAACTCTCCTGTCATATCATACCTAATGGTAATATACCATTTTTTTCAATTCAATTCACAACCTAGAAAGGCCCGCCCTGCTTTACTTTACAGGCGAGAAATGGACAAGCTTGGGCTACCAGATTCCGTGAAAAGGTTAGGATACGCTTGCGTTCAATCGCTCTAGCCTCGATGTGATCGCTTCGATGACGGCAGATCTAGAATTTTGTTAGTCGTATTGCTCTTCAGAATCAGTGATGGCGTGGCGTGGCTTACTCTCTCTCCACCATCTTCATGGCATCTGCTATCTTCGCTCTCTGTAGCTTTGGCGGGATCTTCGGTTGGGTGCTCGGGCTTCCCGTTGGAGGTGGTTCAGCTGCCGTGGACGCTTCTGCAGCCACACGCTTCACTTCGGCCAGAAGTTCGGTGGCAAGAGATTTCGCCTAGGAAACAACGGTTAGTTCTGCGCACATCTTGTCTGATATGGGTGCTGGCTTACTGTTTCTAATCTCTGTCTGAGCGTCTCAGCTTGCTCATCTTCCTTGGTTTCCGCTCTCTCGATAGAGTTCGCCAGAGAATCAACCTCCACCACCCAAGCCTTTTCCTTCTCGCTTAGGGGCCGGCCACCCAGTTTCGAAATCTTGTTCTTGAGGCCGTTGTATCGCTGAACAAGCTGCTCTTGCCTCGCCTTCGCCGTCTCCAGTCTCCTACTTAGAGCCTCCTCGCTTCGGGAGCCCTCCTTTCTTTGACCGTCTTCGCCAATGGTACTCGACACATTCTTGATCCGCTCTGCAATACTTGCGATCCGCTCCAGTTGTTCCCGCATCTCCCCCCGTAGCCTTTCACAGCGACGGAAGAGATCTGCGGCGGCCCTCTCAAGAGCGCCTGTATGAGTGGACAAGACTCTATGAGCAGCAGCGACCAAGTCGAGAGTGGCCGGCGACAGACGGACCTGCTCTCGGAGTGAGGCTCGGTGACGGTGTGGAACGTTCTCTTCGATAAAGTTCCCCAGGGGATTCTCAGCATAGAAAATCGCCGGCACCTGATAAGGAGCTCGTCGAGGTTTGATTAGCTGAGTATAAGCATCATGCTCCAGCCTCGACGAGTCTGATATTGACGGCAAGGATGCGTGCAAAGGCTCATCAAGGATCGCGGCTTGTGGAGAAGACCCCCGATAGGTCAGAAGGAGATATCCTAGATCGTAGTCGGAAAAGACCAAAGACGTCGATAGGTGGTTGGGTTCGTCCGTAGCAGAAATTTCATTCTCATTCATTTGGATGATCAACTCTCTGAGAGCGATCGACCCATCGCAGAGAACATTTAACCGGAAGGCCGACCCCGAGGTATCTTCAGACTCTAACTCAGTCTGTACC